TTAAATAATTTTCCCAAAGGTTCATAGCAACTAAATGATGGAGCTAGAGTTTCCATCTTAGCAGCCTGACTCTAAATGAGAGATATTCATTGTGGAGTCATAGTATATAGATGGCATTTAGAGCCAGGAAACTGAAAAGGGTTATTTTGTGAATGAGAGTAGATGGAAAAGAGATCCAAGGAATTGGCTCTGGCCCCCTCCAATATTAAAAAGTAAGGGACATAAGGAAGATTTAGCAGAGAAGACTGAGAAAGGGAGACATTGAGGCAGGGGAAGAGCAGAGAGTGATAACCTGGATGCCCAGTGCAAAAAGTGTTTTAAGGATGAGAGAATGATCAACTGCATCACATGCTGCTGATGGATCAAATGGAAGAGACCCAAAATTGACACCCTGGCAAGGGGGTGAAAAAGGGGCAGCTATTTAAAATTCACACAAAGATGCTATGGGGGCTAGCTTCCATCCTCATTACCCATTGGAATTAGGAACATGGAGGTCATTGGTAACCTCAGTAAAAACAATGTAGGGAGAGTGGTGGGTATGAAAATTTGATTGGAGTGGATAGAAGGATAATTAGGGAAGAGGCAGTGATGGCAATGAGGAGAGACAAATGTTCTGAGGAGTTTTGCTATAAAGGGAAGCAGAGATATGGGGTGATACCTAGAAGAGATAGTAGGGTCAAGAGCTTTTGTCTCTTGTTTGTTCTTTTTTTTTTTAATCTTCACCTGAGGACATGCTCATTGATTTTAGAAACAGTGGAAGGGAGGGAGAGAGAGGAGGAGAGAGAAACATCAGTTGGTTGCCTCTTCTATGAGCCCTGACTAGGGGCTGAACCTACAACCCAGGCATGTGCTCTGACTGGGCATTGAGCCCATAGCCTTTTGGTTTATGGGAGGATGCACCAACTAACTGAGCCACACTAGTGAGGATAACAGTTTTTGTCCCTTTAAATGAAAAATATTGTAATTTGTTTGTTACAATATATTTATAATATTGTCTCAATATTACAAAATGCCTCAATTTCTCATCTATAAAATGGTGATATTTGGAACAGTGTAGTAAGTCCTCACTTAACCTCATCAATAGTTTCTGTAACTTTAAGCAAAACAACATATTACAAAACCAGTTTTTATCACAGGCTAATTAATATAAACAAGAGTTAAATTCCTGCAGCTTCTCATCAACTTTATAACAAAACAACATGGAAGGAAACAATGTTATTTGAATATCTGCTGCTCAGTTGTTACAAGGATTGTTTGGATTAATAGTTAACTAAGTGGTTATAATAGTTTCTGGCATATATTAAGTACTATATAAATGATTGTTGTATTTTTTAAAATTAGAAAACTTACAATAATCTTATAACAACCACAGTTATCTTCATTTTACTCGGGTGGAGAGGTTAAGTGACTTACCTGAGACCACAGGGCTGTTAAGTGGCAGAATCAAATCTAGAGCACATATTTGACAGACTCCAAAGTCCTTACTTGCAGCCACAGTGCTAAGATGGACATGAAGGTGGGCAGATTGCTTCCTAGGAGGGCTGTCAAGGAGGGAGAAGCAAGTGGGTACTGTGAGTACAGTGAGGTAAATAGAGTCCGAAAGGCTAGCAGAGATACTGTTTGACAACCTAGTTGGGAGCATGGTCTGTAGGTCCTTGGCCCAGTTCTGTGCTTCTCGCTATTCAAGAGCAGTCTGGGTTCCCAGGACCATTGCAGGGAGACGCCAAGTCCCTTAGGTACCTGAATATTCAAATTACAGCCAGAGCACTCAACCTTCCTGGGTCCTTTTTCTCATTGCCTATTTTCTGGGTGACTACTGTCAAGCCAGTTAACTTTTACATCTTGGTTTCCTCATCTGTCAAATGATAATGATACTTTACCCCCTACTTCAGGACATTTTTGACAGGATTGAGTTGATGATGGATGTGAAAACATTTTAAAAAGCATGAATCAGCACTGAAATTTAAGATAGTAGGGTGATCTAAGACCACATTACTATGAGGGTACAGTGTGGGCCTCTCAAGCCTCCATAACTGCCTCTTGCTTGTGATGCCCATTGTCAAACCCTGTGATGTTTTTCCAGCTATTCCATTATGGTCTACAAAGATGCTTAGAACCTATCTGTTTTTCTGGGATTTTACATTTTCCTCTGTGAACATAAAATAAGTTGAGTGTCATTTGAATCCATGGGAAATTTCCCTTCCACCTGGGTTTTTATTTTCAAGAACCAGAGCCAGTATCTGTCCAGGATCCATAGTTGTCCCAGCTACCATTCTGGTAACTCTGCCATATTTCAGTTTCAGCTCTTGGCACAAGGCAGGTGTGGGCTTCTGGGCCTGGGGAACCCATAAATGCTTCCTCTCATTAGCACAAAGCCTTGCTTCTGTGTATGTTCTGTAGGGAACAAGTAAGCAGCTGACCCTTCCCCTGGGTGTCCTTGTTTCTCTGGGCTTCCCCTTGAGAGGGGAGTTGAGGGCTGTGTAAACCTGAAGGCCAGGCCTCTTGCCAGCTGCTGGAATTGAGTTAGTCACCAAACAATTTCCATTCTCTTCCTGCTGCCAGGGTCTACAGCATGGTGCACATGCTAGCTTGAAACTGTGCTCTGCCTTGGTAATCCAGAGCTTCCATTATGAGAGAGAGAGATGGGAAACAGGAGTGAATGAGTGAACATGTAGGGTGGACAGAGATTGGGGACTAATTTTTGGCAACCTATGACAAAAAAATATTAGCCCACTTGCTTGATCTTCACCCAAAAGGAGGGCTAACTCTGGACTGACCCCAAATATGCAGCAGGGAAACTATTCTTGGATCTAGATGACATTGGCTCTAGCAAGCATTCTTTTTTGCATCTGGAAATTAGGAATAATAAATCCAATTCCATATGTTCTTCATGTCAAATGATAAATAAGCTTTTAAATAGCTTACTAGCTACTTATCAGGAACAGGTAGTGACATAAGATTGTGTTTCTTCCAGCATATTCTGCAGAATACTGTGTGTTATTTTTTAAAAGGCACTGGCTAACTAAGTTTGGAATACACTGGATAAACAATGTTAAAAAGGTTTATTTTGTAATTGTAGAGACCACCCAGGTACTATCTTTTTACATCATTTGTTATTTTTAAATCAGAGTTGATGTATAATATTATGTTAGTTTGATGTGTGCACTCCAGTGAGTAGATATTATATAACTTACTAAGTGATCATCCCAGTAAATCTTGTACCCCTATGACACCATGAAAAATTATTAGAGTATTACTGACTATATTCCCTATGCTGTATTTTATATCTCCATGACTGTTCTGTAACAACCAATGTGTATGTCTTAATCCTTCATCTTTTTCACCCATCCCCCAACCCCCCTCCCATCTGACAACTGTCAAAATGTTTTCTGTATGTATGAGTCTGTTTTTGTTTTTCTGGTTAATTTATTTTTTTGTTTAAATACAATTGTTGATATGTATGTGTTTATTGCCATTTTATTGTTCATATTTTTAATCTCTTATTTTTTTCCTTTTCTTCTTACACAAGACCATTTAACATTTCATGTAATTCTAGTTGGGTGGTGATGAACTCCTATAGCTTTGTCTGGTCTGGGAAGCTCTTTATCTGCTCTTTGATTCTAAATGATATCTTGCTGGTTAGGGCAATCTTGGCTGTAGGTCCTTGCTTTTCATCACTTTGAATATTTCATGCTAGTCCCTTCTAGCCTGCAAAGTTACTGTTGAGAAATCAGTTGACAGTCTTATGGAGCCTCCCTTATTGGTAACTAACTGCTTTTCTCTTGCTCTTTTTCATATTCTCTTTTTAACCTTTTGCATTTGAATTGTTATATGTCTTCATGTGTGTCTCTTGGGGTTCATCTTGTTTGGGGCTGTCTGTACTTCCTGGAATCTTAAGTCTACTTCCTTAACCAGGTTAGGGAAGTTTTTAGTGATTATTTCTTTAAATAGATTTTCAGTTTCTTCCTCTCTGTTTTTTTTCCTTCTGGCACCCCCATGATGCTAATATTGGTGAACTTGATATTATCCCAGAGTCTCCTTACACTTTGCTCATATCTTAAATTCATTTTCATTTTTGCTTTTCTGATTCAGTGTTTTCTCTTACCTTCCAACTTGCCACTTGTATTGAAAAGCTGCTGGAAACAGCTTTGGTGGGTCTGCAAGTTGGGTGGGGTGGGGTCTCAGGGAATCACCAGGGTGTGGTTAACAGTGTGAGCCTGGTGTGAGCCAGGTCGATGGAGACTCAGATGTGGCATCCAGCTGCTGGCTCTGTTGGGGGATGGCTTATCTCAGGAAAGGAGCAATGGTGTCTGCCAGCACTTTTGTCTGGCAGAAAGTTACTCCCCCAGTTTTTGCCCCGATGCCAGATAATTCAGTTCCTCCCCATATATGCCTAGTTCCTTTCAAACTTCTGTCCCAGTGCTGGAGCTCAGAGGGTGTGAGTTTGAGTACATCTGTCTTCAGGTACTAGTTGGGAGATGGTTAGGGGGTAGAGGGATTGAGCAAAAAGGAAAACAGAGTCAAGGACATGGAAAACAGTGTGGTCATTGTTGGGGGCAGGGGGGTATAAGGGGACTGAAAGGTAATGTTAAGAAACTTTAAAAAGTGATAAAAATAAATTAAAAAATTAAAAAGTGGAAAAGATATTAAATTTAGAAAACAAAAAAGAGGAACTGCCTAGGACTCCAGAAGCCTTCCATCTCTCTCAGCCATAATCCCTGCTTGTTTTTATAGCCAGAAATTATGGGATAACCAACTTTCTTAGTGGAACATTTTTCAAGTATCATCTCTGCAATATACACTTTGAAAGATGCCAGCCTAGGTCATAAGTATATTCATTTTAGTCTTTTTTTTTCTTGGTATGATTGTGAAGGTGGTGAACTGGTGAAATGCATAGGGTTGCTAAGATGTGGGCTGTAAAGAGCAACAGCATTCAAATTCAGAATCTGTTGAAATGTGTGGTTCCTGCTCTAAAACACCTCTCCCTCATGTTCTTGCAGCTCCCCTTTGAATTGGAGATTTACTACATTCAGCACGTTATGCTCTATGTGGTACCCATCTACCTGCTTTGGAAAGGAGGTAAGACCAGTGAACCATACCCCTGTCCTACCCTAAGACCTAAATGCTCCCTTCTGTTTTGGGGAGTCACAGCATCTTGGGTGCCTACCAGGATCTTAGGGTGCTGTCTGGCTTAGTTTCTATAGCATTCTTTATGTCAGATACCAGGCAGTGGGAAATGGGCATGGATAGGGGCTTTTTAAAACCATCCTGTCAGTGAGGTTGGTGCTGATGACTGTCTGTACTAAGGCCTAGGCCTTGGACTCTGGTTGTTTGGGTTTGCATGGAACCTCCCACACTCTGCCACTCACTTGTGCTTGTGCCTTCCCATTGCCTCAGTGTACAGTGTGGGATCGAGGGAGAAAAGGAAGCACTTGGCCTTCTCAATAGACAGACCTTGTGCTCTTGTTCATTATATTCATTCTCTTAGAACCAAAGGAAATACTGAAAGAGGCAAGAAGTCCAGGGACAGTGGGGTTATAGGATTGAGGGAAGAGGCATGAGAAGGCAGTGACCTTTACGTAAAATACACTATGGAAAACCTTTATTTGGTCATACTGGAGAGATCACCAACTTGGGAGAGTTGGCGAACAATGGAAGCTGATTTGTGATCTTATAATGCCCCTTAAATTATCCCCTCCCTCTATTGTATACTAGTAGACAAAAGGGAAGAGAAATTCATATCCTTTTTATACTGAGTGTGAAAACAGATCCTTCTCCTTGTTCTTACCATCCTGTGTAAAGCATATACTTGGATAGCCTCTTCTAGTCTTAGTCATAAGCCCCTTTATTTTGGTTGCTGGGAGTTTCCTGGGAGATCAAACCTCCCTACTTCACCCCAGGCAGCAATTATTTTATTTCTATTGCATTAAAAATGATGTGAGGCCACATGGGCCCTTGAACCCACTGGAAGATGGTTTGGAAGTATGCTTCCTCCAACTCAGGAATTCTGGCAAATCTTAACTTTTGGCTTGGGGTAGTGTCAAGGACCAGTCAATCTAGAAACATGTTAGAACATGGGCATTATTGCTGTCCATGATGGCTATTACTAGTCCGGTGATTTGTTCCTGTGCATGGTTTGTATCAATTAAGATTCTTAGGACTTAATCTAAATATTCTTTGAGATAGTTTTTACCCTGTGCAGCCACTTGGGATCTCATACTGTCAAAGACAGCTTAACTTCTAATTTGCTTTAAATTCACTATTTCTCCCTCTGAGCTTTAAGAGAAGTCTGAAGTTCCAGTAACTGGGAGACCTCTGTCATTTCCCTTATCTGTCCCCTGTGGCACAAGAAATAATTTCCTAATAATGCTTTAATCTTGGAGAGAGACTCATTCTGAAGGGCACCAGCAGGCAGCTGTCCCAGAGCTCTAGATCCCCACCACGCATTGCTGGTTTCTAAGGGGTGTGATGCAAGTTCTAGCCAAAGTGTGCTTGGCTATTAGTTAAACCTGTTTGTGCTCTGAGGTGCCTATAAAAATCTGTCAAGTAGCTGTCCTAGACTGGTCTGACATAGAAAATACCAAGCAGGCATTCCCTGCTCTCCCCTCCAACAAACAGTCTGGGAAGCAGCACCTTCTAGACGTGGCTGATTCCACTGTGCCTTCTGTTGGATCTATTGCTGCACTGTTCAGGGAAACTGAGCTGAGGAAATAGGAATTCCAAGTCTTAATTTCTATTTATTTCCTAATGTTAGTGATTTCCCCCCTCTTTTGGTGCCAGACCCTGAGAAGAGGCTATAATAATAATAACAGTATGAATGTCAGTTTCCTTTTTATTATTTACTGTTTGCAAGATAGTGTGCTAGGCATGTTTTAAGTATTTTCTTATCACAGCCAACTTGGTGAAAAATCTTCCTTCTATGGAGGAGAAAATCAGGGGTCAGAAATGTTAGGTACCTTGCTCACAGCCCAGATTCAAAGATGGCCTAGTTTCCCTCCCAAACCAGTACTGATTCCCCACACCAAGTTGTCCTAAAAGACAGATGTCTGTCTCCTAACTACATCAGGCTGGGAGTCTTCCATCTTCATCTATGGGAGAAGATGGACCATTGTAATACAACATCATAAGAGCTGTAATACAACATCATACCATGGGAGCATGGTATGATTTCAGAAGGCTAGTTTATTTTCCCTTCTTCACTATTTCTGGGCTCTTGTATGGGTTCAGCTTCCTTTTTGGCTCTTTGCTGCCCTTTGCTGTTCACTTAGTGGAAATTATGGGCATTTTGACAATACTCTGGATTTCTTCTGGCTGGTTTGACCTTCAGTTGGAGCCTTGGTCCTAGGCCTTACAGAGGGAAAATGGAATCTGGAGTGAGCAATGAGAAGATTATTCCCTATAAACCAAAAAAGCTGAGGGTTTGGGGCTTCTCTTCCCTAGAAGTCTCGTAATTTTCCCCAAAATAACTGGCTCAGGGATTTTTTTACCCATGGCAAGGCAGCTGTCCTATAGACACCTCTTGTTCCCAGGAACTCTGTTTTCTTAAAAGGCACACTTCTGCTTCTTCCTGTGTTTTGGAGGTGACTGAGTGGTGCTTAGCAGGAACCCCATTCCACCCTTGTTCCTTGAGCCCTTTGGCACCACCATCTTTGTCCACTGTATTCTTTTCTTCCTTCATACTGGCTCTTGATTTCTGTTTCTTTTCCTCCCAACTCTTTGCGTTTAGACCTTTGGAAGTATATTCTAGTATAACCCTCCCAGCCCTGCCACCAGCTCTTTACAGAAGACCAAGCAAGTCCTACCTCTTGCTTGAAGCTCCCTCTAATGGAGACTGCTCTTTCTGCCCAGCCCCATGTGCTGCCTGGCTGCACACTGTCTCTTCCAGGCTACTATTTCATCTCTACCTTATGTGAAAATGCTTCTCCTTTATCATTCTCTTGACTTTGTTTTTTCATCTCCACCACTACCTAACTTCTTGGTCACTTGCCCCACATTCCCAGATATCTTTGGGCCAAGGGTTCTCAAATTTTCCACTACAGTGCTAGCCAGCATGCTGACAGGCTGCCAGTGAGGACTGCGCATTTTATCCCCGGCCTTTCAAGGTTTGGGTTTCTTAATTCAGTGACTTTTGCATCCCTTTCTCTTCAGTCACCTGGACCATGCCTTCCTCCTACACCTAAAAGTCTTCTGTCTGAGATAATCAGCCTCTGTGCCCCTTTATTTGACCCAAATCTCTACTCCTTTCAGCCTCCTCCTTTAGCCAGTCAGCTCGTAACACTATAACCAATTACTGGAACTTTCCTTTTACCACCTCCTGAAAGTGTCTCACTCCCTTGCCTCTTGCACTGAACAAGTGTCCAATCCCTGTGCCCAGTTCTAGCCTACTAGAGAAAATCTCTCAAGTCATTCAGACTTAATGCCACTAAAATTTCATGGTTTCTAGTATGAGTGTGCTCTTAACACCATATGAGGTGATTTCAGGGGGTAGAGAAATAATATTTTTTCTAAGTTATATATTTAATATATATTAAAATAGGTACCCAGTGTAGTGAATCCAGGATTTCATGGATAATAAAATTTCTCTTATAAGTAAATATACTTTAGGGAAAATATCAATAGATTTAAGGACATATATTATATACATAATAATATAAGTGGTTACATGGATAAGGCTCTGCTCTAAGGGCTTCCAAAATCTCCTCTCTTCGCTTGCCTACCTCACTTACCATGTCTTTTGTCTTCTTCAGTTCTTTTTTCCTCTGCCCTCCAAGGTGTTGATTTCCTTGGTGGTCTGTTCTGGCCTCACCTTTCGCTTGCTGCTCCCAGCATGGTCTCATGAGCTTATACTGTTTAACCAGAAGTCTGTACAGTGATGACCACCACATTCCTATCTGCAGCCCAGACTTAGGAAGTTCAGTTTCATATTGTTCCTCAACATGTCCACCTGAATGGCTCAAGCACACCTCAAACTCAACCTGTCCATGCTGCCCTCATACGTTCTCGATTGGCTATGCTTCTCTTACTGTGGCTTTTTGAGAGATGGCACCACCCGGTCACCCCAACTAAAACCTGGAAGTCACCCCAGCCCCATATCTGATTTATCCATTTATCTAACACATGGCTTAGCCTATTCAGGATGCTATAATAACATAACACTGAGTGGGTAGCTTATATAAATGTTAGTTTATTTCTCATGATTTGGAATCTTGGAAGTCCAAATCAAGGTGGTCATCTTTTCATAAAGACCCTCTACCTGGTTCATAGCTAGCACTTTCTGTGTTCTCACATGTAGAAGGGGTGAGCAGTCCGTATGAAGCCTGTTTCCTTTTTTTAAAAATATATTTTATTGATTATTCTATTACAGTTGTCCCATTACCACCCCCTTATTCCCCTCTACTCTGCATACTCCCTGCCACACGCATTCCCCCACTTTAGTTCATGTCTATGAGTCATACATACCAGTTCTTTGGCTTCTACATTTCCTATAATATTCTTAACCTCGCCCTGTCTATTTTCTACCTACCATTTCTGCTACTTATTCCCCATACCTTTTCTCCTCTCTCCCCTGCCCCCACTGGTAACTCTCCACGTGATCTCCATTTCTGTGATTCTCTTCCTGTTCTAGTTGTTTGCTTAGTTTGTTTTTGTTTTAGGTTCAGTTGTTAATAACTGTGAGTTTGTTGTCATTTTACTGTTCATCTTTTTTATCTTCTTTTTCTTAGATAAGTTCCTTTAACATTTCATATAACAAGGGCTTAGTGATGATGAACTCCTTTAACTTGACCTTCTGGAAAGCACTTTATCTGCCCTTCTATTCTAAATGATAGCTTTGCTAGATAGAGTAATCTTGGATATAGGTCTTTGCCTTTCATGACTTCAAATACTTCTTTCCATTCCCTTCTTGCCCACAAGTTTTCTTTCCAGAAATCAGCTGACAGTCTTATGGGCACTCCTTTGTAGGTAACTGTCTCCTTTTCTCTTGCTGCTTTTAAGATTCTCTCCTTATCTTTGATGTTGGCTAATGTAACTATGGTGTGCCTTGGTGTGTTCCTCCTTGGATCCAACTTCTTTGGGACTCT